GTTGCAGACATCTTAGTCTAACATGGCAAAAAAAAAATACAAATTTCCCCTTCCCCTCCACTATCTATACGTTTTCGTTTTCAAAATCCCCTTCACAGCGGGAAGAAATGACCTCAAGGTAGCAACCTACATGCTAAACATTTCTGCAGATGGTTTAGATGGTGTAATAATCCCGTTCCACTAATTCTTTTGGTGAATTTGCCATTTTAATGACAGTGTTTGGCTCCCTGCAGACTAAAGTTCCACCATAATAATTCCCCACTTTACTGTTTTGTCAGGGGACACCATTGCTGCATCCTGGGCTGCCCAAGATGATTGGTTTAAAAAAATATATAAACAAGCCACTGTGTTTGTTTCCTTATAGCAGCATGACAATGATAATAATGCAGTAGAGAATAGTCTGGCTATACAGGAATTAGATGTGCCCCAACCTCAGATTAGTGGAGTGTGAATTTAAGCGTTGGGTTAAGTCTTGAGTCTCAGTTAGTGTCCAAATGAAATTTAGTCCATTTGGGCCATGTTGGCTACCTGACTGTGGATTCACTATCAGATCTGAACACTTGATCGGAGCTACCTGTGCTCATTACAGGAGGACAATGTGTCGTCGAAGGCTACAACTACATTACAAACTTTTCAGTAACGGCTTCCGTCTGTAATAACGCCTGAAAACAGAAGATCATTCATGGCTGCTGGGGATGTTTATTCCAGTACAAGTACAGGTTGGTTGCTTAGGTGGGTTAATTGGGGTGTCATGTAATAGGAGTGTAATGAATCCAGGAAGAACATGTGGTACAGATCCAACCCAACCCAATCAGAAACCATCAGGAAGTTGTTTTCAAAAAACCCAACACCGCACACGGAGTGTCTGAATATCTTCACCTGGAAAGAAATCTCCTAAAGGTCAATATTCAGTGACCTAAAACTGTGTTTGCGTTGGACAAAAGGTCAAAAAGCAGAAAAAAAAACAACAGTGTTATAAAAAACACCTACGCACATGTAGATAAGGCCTAAAGGGGTTTTCAGACAAAACACCACAATGACATCCCTACCTACCATACCTATTATTTCCGACGGCTGACACCAGAGCGGTTTGTCGCTGCTTCGAGCTAAACTTCATATTAGTTGAACTTTGACTGCTGCACGCTGGGGCAAATACCCATGAAGCCAACGGAAACTAGGCGTCCGGCCAGGTAGCAAGGCCAACTAGTGTAAAAGCTAATGTTGTGTGAATTCCCCGAACTATACGGCACAAGTTTACGTTTGTGTCGAGTTCTTGGAAACAGGTTTCCGTCCGAGTAGGCCTGTCAGGTAGCTCATCGTTCAAAGCAATGGAGGTAAATATAACTTTGCCATTTGTTCCCCATCCATCGCTCTCTATAAACCTATTAAATAGAAGTTTTTTGCTCCGTCTTCCACGATGAACCCTATAAGATTTCACAGCACATGTCTGAAAGTCTCATAAGTCAAACATATAAACTGTCAAATGCAGGAAAAATAACACTTTCTAGCCTCAGTTGTTCATCAACTGGTGGCACTTTGGGGGTCTTTCTTTAACCCTGCACATAAAACCCGAGTTATTTTCATAGCCAGATACCACAAGACTTGAGTGATGACATGTGTTTTTGTAATTTTGGTGAAACGAATTTTAAGGTCATTCGCGAGCGTGCTGCTCCAGTGTTGGGTTGCCGAGTTGTCCTGAACTGTACAGTCGCTATCTTCAATTTTTCCATCATCGTAAATGTCACGCAGCTGAATCTCTGACAAAAAGGCCAAAAAAGTGTTCCAGGCAGCTGCGAGCGAACGGTTCGGAGCCCCTGCACAGGAGGAATCTGTCTTGTAAACCGATACGGCTGCCCAGTCATGACCTCAGCCTCCAAGTATGAATCCTCAGTTTGATCTGTGGGTTTAAAAGCCCGGCTTTCCAGGATAACTGAGACTAATTATCGTGTGTCTCTGTGGAAAACAACAGCGGGATGGATGAAAGGGGATGTGCTCTTAAGGTGTCAGCGTTACTGTCTATACGTCACGGGCAACAGATGCACAGCTTACAGCGCCTCGGATCAGCGCGATTTCATGCGATATCACTTCTGAAAGCATCGCTGTTTGGCTGCGTTTCCACCTCGCAGCGCTGTGGAGGGACCTCTGATCTTTTATGTGCAGCTCGCTCCTCATATTTCACTCTATGAACCCTGTGCATGAACCACAATAAACCCAAACTCCCAATGTGCCAAATAATGTTTTTCCCCTTTCAGCAGCGGATGATTTGTGGTTCTCGGCCTGTATAGCAACAGATGTAGTCAAGCTGTTATCCAGCAGGCCTCTAGGAGTGGCGTCTTATGATCCCGATGATGCGCACAGTGACTCACGTCATGCAGATGGCAGGTGGTCTTGTTCAGCAAAGCTCTGTGGACGTCCTCCTCCCCGAGGGCCGGAGGCTGGATGATGGAGGGGGAGTGCTGCTTCCCACCCCCGGGGGTCTCAGCTGTGAACGGGTTAAAGTGATAATAGCTCCCACTCTGCCCTGTCCATTAGCTTTAACTACTTGTGGCTTGATGTGATGTAACTGAAACAGCGAGGAGCCTCAGCATCTGCACCCTACACAAGATCCTTACAAGAATTAAAGATTATACTCTCACATATGAGTCACAACATCCCAGATGTGAGATATATTATCATTCATGGGGTTTTATTGTCAAGATTTTAACAAAAAAAACACCTTTAAAGGACCAATACAGATGAAACAATGCAATTTTTCTTCCACTAAGAGTGATTACAACTCCTACCTTAGGTGTTATGTAGTTTTAAAATGACTTATTGAATTCAAAAATGACTTATTTTAATGGTTTTAGCCGACCCGCTCCTTTTTAGCAAGTAAAATACCTTTAAAGGACCAATACAACTCATATAATACACCTGCCAAAAAGTGATCCTGTCATCTGCCTTCTGTCTGAAAGTTTGTGTGTGTGTGTGTGTGTGTTTTAAAATATATATATGAGAAAATGACTCTATTTAATTAATGAAGGTCTTATTTTAACGATAATAGCCCTTTTTAAACCTAGTCTTATACTTTGAAAGGACCATTTCCACTCATATAATAGTTTTCCACCTGCCAAAAAGTGATCCTGCCATCTGCCTTCTGTGTGAAAGTTTTTTTTTTTGTGTGTGTGTTTTAAAATATATATATATATATGAGAAAATGACTCTATTTAATTAATGGAGGTCATATGTTAAAGATATAGCCCTTTTTAAACCAAGTCTTATACTTTGAAAGGACCAGCGCCACTCATACAATGCAGTTTTCCACCTGCCAAAAAGTGATCACATCACCTATGTTATGTGCAAAAAGGTCATTTTGGTTTTAAAATGATTTTATTTAAATCACGGGGGTCTTATCTTTAAAGATTTTAGTCCACTCACTTTTTTTACAGGGTAAAATACCTGTAAATGACCAATATAACTCATATAATGCAGGTTTACATGTCAAAACGTGATCACATCTCCTCCCTTCTGTCTGAAAGTGTTTATTTTTTTTCAAATATCAAAATGACTTGGCTTGATGTGGTGTGACTGAAACAGCAAAGAGCCTTCGCATCTGCACCTTACTCCAGATCTGCACATCTTACAAGAAGTAATTATATGAGTCACAACACTTTCAACATCTGGTTTAGGCAGAAGTCTGGATGTTAAACTGAGGAAATATTTACAGGAAAATACAGATTTTTTAATGTTTTTGATAAGAAAGCCCACCAAACTCCAAGGAATAATCAAATTACATGAAATTGCTCAGGCTTTCTGCCACGTTCACAGCAGGAAAAGAACAAATGTGAATCAAATTAATGACAGAGTTCTGTTTGGTTGTTTTGGTTTCTTGTAACTCGTAGATTTTCCTTCTAGGACAAGTCAAAATGTCTGCTGTGGTAAAATCACTAAATATAGAATTTATGAGGTTGATATTAACATTAATTAAAAGGTGCAGTGCGTAATTCTAAATGAGTCAACAGACAGGAAGAGAGAAACGTAGCAACGACATCCGAAATATCTCCTTGTGATGTTAAGTGGTACCAAGTTTGACTAGTTTCAGCCTTGAGGTGACCAACAGTGATTAACATGATGCAGAGTTCCTGTAACCCTTCAGAGGGAACAGCAGCTTTGGTTTCTTCCTCTCGAACTACATCAGAATGAACGAGCAGCTCACAACTCGTTCCATTTTTGAATGAACCTTGAATTATGTGTGAACTGTGTTTGGGGGTGGCAAATATACAGCAGGGTTTCCTCAGCAACCGGAGTCTTAGATGTTCACTAGCAACCAAATGACAGCTGAATTGATGGGCAACAATTCTTGCTAAATTCAGCAAATAATCTGCTCGTTGTGCATTCTGTGCTGTACTAGCTGTGTAAACGGGAAAAAGTGGCTTGGACCAATCTATGCAATATCATTTGAACATTTTCTGCACATAGAACAGGATGAAAATTAACTTTTAGAACAGTAGACTCCACCTTTAACCACAAAAAGCATATTGAAACTTTATGCATCACCGATAAACATTTGAGAACAATTCCTTTAAAAGTGGTCGTGAAACATTTTCAGCTGTGAAGAGGCTAGTTTAAGCCAAAATGTTAATTTGAGAGATTAATAATCTGTATCTACAGTATGATGTGCTAAAGGGCTATTGCAATGCAAGGTGTGCAGAGTTTACTTGCACAAATGACAGCCTTTTCATATAGACAACTATTATGACTGCAATTTCTAAATATTTAAACACATTGAAGAATTTCAGTGTAAAAGTTTTTGGCATAAAGTATGGACATATTACAGTGCCTGGCTTGCCAATTATATTTTTAATCTGGGTAAAGACTGACATCCAGGAAAGTCACCTCAGAACAGTCTCATAACCTCAATACCTCTGTGGATTCGTGCCAACACATGACTGGAAGCAGCTCTGAACTGGTCTTAGAGCAGCCTCTAGTGGTGATCAGCATCAATGACAGGGGAGCAGCTGCTCTGGTGAAAACCATTTAATAGATGCTTTAAGAACAAGACATTTAAGAACATTAAAGTCATTTAAAAGTATTGCTGTACATATTCACTTCCACACACAAGAAAAGAATCCCTTAAAAGAAAAAAAAAGGCTGAAGTGTGTCATCCGTCTACAGAACCTTTTACATGAGCGACCATTTTGAAATCATGCCACAAGTTTCAGATCTTCCACTTCTGGCAGCTGGTAAAGTGATAAGATGACTTAAAAATGCACTTAACGTGGCTTAAGTCAAGTTACAGTGTGGCAACAATCAGCTGGTATATTTAAATGGTGTTCAAGGCTAATGTGTCACAACTTCAGTCAGCTAACAAATAGTGCATCAACTGTTGTAAACAAAGAAGAAAACTAGCTGCATTTCCAGATAACAGCTTAAAAACCAGGCTTGTGTTATTACAATAATCAGTGATAGCTGACTGAATCTCCCAAGTAAATGCATCCAAGTTAAACTCAAGGTTAAGGACAGAAGTTTACAACCTGATTAGACTGAACTGCCATTTTGTGGCCAAGCCTTCATGTGGAAGACAGATTTAATCTTATGGCTTACATTAAAAAAAGTCCCTAAAAATACACAATTTCAGTTGGTTAAACACTCAAATCACTGACATGGTCCTTGGTTCACAGATTGTTCAGTCGTTAAAAGCTTAAGTTACATCTGTACAAAAATCAGCACATGGTGCCAAAGTCAATCGTGACCTCACTGAGTGAGCTGCTTTGCAAGATCCTTAACCACTGAAGACTTGAGCTGCGAGATGGTGGCGATCCTCATCTGCTTTGAGGTGGAGTATTTGCCTTTGATGGCCTGCAAGAAGAACAAACTGCAGTTAGAAGTCCATCAATTAAGCCAACAGGTGAAGCTGAAATTAAGGCTCCGATAATAAAGCAGGTGACGAGGCTGGAAGATGAAACAAATGTCCGTCCAACTCACCATGTGCTTGGTCAGACCTTCGTTCACTCTGACGACATTCTTGGCAATGTGCGCCATAACAGGAATCAAACTCTCTGCCGTGTAGTCCATGTAGTGCTGCAGTGTGGCATCCTGCACAGAGTTCAGAGCACCATTAGAGAAAGACATTTTCCTCCCTACTAGGCTCTGTGAAGTAGACTAGCTCAGCTCGTCAGGTCAAGAAATCAATTTGACCCATGTTCACCGCAGCGGAAAGTAGTTTAATAGAGGACCTGGTTGGCCAGGCCGACATAGCCAAGTGCTGATGCATTGTATCTGTGCTTAAAGCGGCGCAATTTAAGGTAGAATGAAAACATTTGTGTTCTGGGCATTTAACAACTTCAAAGTGCCTTTGTTTGGTGTAGAACACATGTTTCCAGGTTACAACTTAATTTGGACCTCAAATCCAGCATCATCTGAGCTCCAAGATTGGAATTAGCTTTAATGTGGAGACGCAACATCTCATCCATACTCACCCATTCGCCAGCATCCAAAACTTTGAGCGTAAGCGCCAAAGCAGCACTCGCCACAATGGAGGGAGGGAGATGAGCCATCTCATAGTCGACCATGGTGAGCTCCAGGAGGTACTTTGCCAGGGTGTGTTGCTCAGCAGTAACCTGAGGAAAGATGCATCAGAATTAACGCCACTGGCAGTGCAAACTTGCAGATTAAATTGACCAAGATCCAGATACAAACCTCATAAATCTTCGAAGCCCTTCTGAGGAACTGCAGAGGAAGAGGGCGGCCCAGTTTGAACTTCAGCACCCGCAGAATTGTCATCTCCATGTCTCTGATTTGGGCCGTGGTGTAGGCCCGGTCAGTCACGTAGGCAAAGTCTGAGATCTCTGGGGGATACATCTCCTCGTATTTGGAGGCGAGGAACATGGCCGTGACGCCAACCAGCTGCAGCTGCTTCTTGGGGACTGGGTGGTCCTGTTGGAGGTGTAGCCACATGCAAGTTTTAGCAAAATAGTCACACAGGATCTTAATGTAGAAGCTACAGTTCACACAGAGAGACGCTCACCTGAAGAAAGCGATCAATGAGTCCCACAGTCATGTACATGGTCTCCTGCAGCAGACGGAACTTGAGGTTCACCTGCACCAGCCAGTCGATGAGGATGGCTCGCATGTTCCCAGTCACCTCCTGACCCTTCAGATAACTGGGTCTGACGTTCTGATCGATCTGAGCAGGCGAGAAACATGTTACAACCAGAAACAAAATGTAGGGAAATAAACATAGTAAAAAACTTTGGTTTTTCAAGTTGCTTGCCTCAAGCTGGCGCAGATACTTGTAGATGTCCTTCACGTAGTCGCTGCAGAGCATGGGGTTCTCATAATCGTCTGCATCTACGTCCCTGACAGCGGTGTGAAGCATGACGTCTGAAAACGCCTGACAGAGCTCAGCAGGCTCACAGCCAGAAGTCTCCATCGGAGTCGGGGATGCAGGTTCAGGCAGAACCTGGAACGGTGGAGATACAAACATGTGTTCAAGCAAACTGATGCATCACACCCAGCAGTCATTTGAGCTTCCATTACTTAACAAGGTGCTGGTATGCAACTCACCTCAGGCACCACCTCGGGCTCAGGCTTAACAGGAACCACGGCGGGTTTCGGCTGTTCGACCTTTTCAACTTTAGTGGTGACTTTGGTCTTCTTGGTAGCTTCTGTCTTGACATTCTGAAATGAGAAAGAAATGAAGTGTTACACAAAAGGCAGCTTCACAGCAGTTAATCCTTCAAGCCAACAGGTCCAGTTAGGTGCCGTAGGATTATGAATGTCCAACAAAAACAGTTCCTCCATGGGCTCTTAAATAGGGCCACAACTAACTGAACCAGTTGGTTCATCTATAAGACTGTCATGTGTCCAAGATGGAATCCTTAAATGTCTCCACAACTCAGTTTACATGTAGAGGAATGAAGAACCCAGAAAATACTGCAAAGAGACTGGAATCCATTTTTACAAAAATATTGACTCCAAACACAATCAGGTAGTTGTTGCAGATCTACTCTGAAAAGTAGAAAAATGGCATTTACTTCCACCTTTTAACCTTTGTGCAACCAGTCATAAACACAACTGCTAACTGCACCCCCACTTACATGCAAAAGCATGCTGAGCTGCTGGAGGTGAACTGGTGCATCTCCATTTTACGCATTTGCCATCTTGAGGCCTTCAGTGAGGAAAACTAGATCATTCTGCATTCAGGGCTTTTGCCATTAAACTAAATGAAGCTGCATAATAGGTTTATATACATATTGTGTTGCTTTCCTCTCCAGTGTATATATTCTCACCTTTTTCTGTACTTCTTTGTTAGCTGCGATGTTTCCAATTTCTCCAAGCGCCGCCCGAGGCTTCTGTGTGGGCCCAGCCACCGAGCAGGCCTTTCCGGCGAGCTCAGTCCTGGTAGAAGCCAAGCGGTTCTGCAAAAAAACCCGAAGACAAGTTAAAATAATGCAAGCTGCTGATTTACGTCTGAATAATGAAGCTTTAGTCGAATTATGGCATATCTGCGCGTGAGGAATCCCTTCAGCGACGCACGAGGGCATTAAACACTGCTTGTATTTTTAAAAAATAATTAAATAAAGTCACGTTTACTCTGGATATTTTTCCACGAGTAAGCATCTAAACGCTAGATAAACAAATAAAAGCTAAAAGTACTTACTCTGGTAACTCTAAGAGCCATTTCGAAGAGTGCGTTTGCTCCCACAGTCAAAGGAAGAGTCGTAATGGTGAATGCTGAGGTGTAGTTTTTACTTTCAGCGTCTTGGTTTAAATCCTCGCTGGCTACAAGCTGATTGGCTGCGCTCTGAATTCTCCGAGCGTCTGATTGGTCGAGCGCATCTGCTTCGAATGCGTTCCCTGGACAACCAGCGATCACGTGACGCGGCTTCTATTTGTTCACTTCCTGCTCCGGATTTTTTTTTCTTTCTGATTTATTTATTTATTTATTTTTAAGCTTTTTTATACATCAAACTTTTGCGAGTTATACTTTTTTCTTCAAAATACAATTAAAAAAAATGATTACACCGGATGTTGGTACATTTATAATCGTCTGCTAAACCTTCGTGCAGTTTCTTTCTTTTTTTTTTTTTAGTGTTTTTATGAGTGCCAGTTTAATCAGCAACCAGGATTCCCACCCTAAACCTATACAAACACTGAAATAGGATCTCAGTACTTTTTTTATTTTCTATTTTAAACCTGCTTGTGTGAAACTATGGACAGCCTACTTCTGTTTCCAGCAAAGAGCACATTTGTTCTTACCAGTCCTTACTAACATTGCTATTAACACAATGCTTTTGGCAAAAAAAATAAGTACAATTTCATTAAATCACATACTGAAATAACAAATAATCTACACAAACCTCTATATGTGAACTACTGTCTTGATGTTTATAAGCTTGTCACATACATAGTGTCTGTCTTTCATCCTTTCTCACTAACAAGCGACTACAGTGCGACACAATATATTTAGATTAGGAATTTGACAGTTTACTGTATTTATATAAAGGCCCAGCTAGGAATAGGCATTGCAAACAAAGTTAGGCCATAAATGCTGTGGCATGTGGCAGTAGTCTATGACGCACTTGTCACTATAAAAATAAAATGATCAGGTTTTAAAATGATGATCAGAGTCTCTCTACTTTCACCAGAGCCCTGTGACTTTGTGACATTAAATGATAATAATAGTGCTCTAGGAGCCCCCTGAACCTTGGGCTCTTTGTCTCTTAGGCCTGGGCATTTTGGGCTATAATCGCAAATGTTTTATTAATCTTTTTTTATTTTTTTTGAATAATAAAAAGTAGCTCTGGATCTGTTCATCTGTTATTCTGTATTAAGGAACTCAAAAATAACATGAAAATAATATGTTATAGCTGATCAAAAACACTGGAATATTCAGCTGTCCATCTGTTGTCAGTTTGGTCTATTTACTAAAGTCAACATATTATTTTTTTGTCATGTCAAACATTTAATAACAGAGATTTTTCAATTTCATAGTCTCACAGCCAAAGATCTGCAGTAGTGACATTATTGTGTATAATGTTATGGATAAAGCAAATTTTATGTTAAGTTCTTTTGGGCCTATTTGATTTGGTCTAATTATTATTTGCTATTAATTTGGAGTATTGTGTTAGGTGACTATTTGGATGAACTTTTTCCCTTCACCATCTCTTCACCCAAATGCCTATGAAATACAGTTTATAACATTACAAATCAGAGTCAGTTTTATTGCCAGGTACATTTTCACATATGAGAAACTTAATGTGGTGTTTTGAAGCGAGACACTAAACACTAACAAGTAGAAACTTTTAAAAGAAGAATATGAAAATATATTAAAAAAACAAAAGTTGCAGGTCACTAGATGGTACTTCAAGACAAATAAGCAAGTGGTAGAAGTCAAATTAAACAGCAAAAAAGGGAACTCCACAGAATTAAAATGAGATTAAACTTTATTAATCTTGAAGGAAATTCCTGAGCTAGATATTGCTCAGAAGAAAATCAAAAAAGAAATGCAGCACCTAAAATGTAGAAAAGCAATAAGATATAAGTACAACTCAATACTGAAACTAAATAAATAAGCAGAAATAAGGCTGGAATTGAACAGTAAACTTTTTACTGTCCTATTCTGGGATTATTTTAGTGTATTGTTATTCTACCAATAGTAGAAATATTTACAGTGTGCAGGAATGTGTTAGGTATAAATCTATATAAATGTTACTGTGAACTTGTTGTTATACTAATACAGGCCTAATAATAACTTTAAATAGTTGTAATTACAAGGTTAAAATCTAATCATGTGTCGAGGAAACTTGCTGGGTTTAGAAAAGGCCGGGGTGAAAGGAAAGTTTACGAGGCGCCTTTGAAGGCATCATTTCCTCTCCAGCTTGTTTCCTCGGATTCACAAACAACGGCTCCTCTTATGGGCTTTGCGCGATTTCAATGAACGCAACGACATGACCTAACTGCGTGGTGGAAGCAGAAGAGGAAGCGGCTCCCGTAAAGCCCTGAAATCTTCGGCGTGGCTGCGCTCCAACAGCCACGGCCTTCCAATCACAGGATCACAGTTTCCGTGACGTCCGCCGGCGAGAGAGAGGACGCAAACGCAGCACGTAAAACAAAACAGATGGCACCACAAATCAGCGACAGAGGACGTCAGCCGGAGAGCTAGCAGCAGCAGCAGCAGCAGCCCGAGGCGGAGAGGAGCCCACACATTTCTAGGAGAGAGAGGACCGAGGAGGAAAGGCACCAGCGACGACTCACCTAGACGGCCCTAGTTAGTTAGCTCCCAGATAAACCCGCTCATTCAGTCAATTTACAACACTTCCCAGAAGAAAAAAACAAAAACAAACGACGTTTCTTTGACAAAGAAGGTGAGTTGAACTGGTTAGCCAGCTAGCTGACGTGGTTGTTTGGGAAGTAAGCGGGTTAAAAACTGCTATAAACAAGTTTAAATGGACTTTTTGTGAAGCTAATAGCCTCCATGTTCGTGTAAAATTCGCTTGATTAGCTATCGAGGATTTAAGAAATGCTCCCCTTGGTTGACTTAACACGTGTCGAGGAAAACTTTTCTTCTCCAACTACGTGATTGTTCAGTAAATAATTCAACTTTCCTCACAGAATTACGTCCACCAACGGCTTCTAGCGTTAATGTTCATATATTTAGCGTGTGGAAATCAAGGAAGTCTATATTTAACTTGGCTAATGTTAATCTGCTCGTAGCTCCTTCAGCATCTATAGATGTGCCCAAGTTTACCGTCTCTTGTTGGCTAACTCAGAGGGTTTTTTTGCGATTATTTGTTTTGTCTGCTTCACCGTTTTTATTCACCCACTTGTTTCTCATTTTAATACTTCTAAAGACACTTATTTATCAGTTAATGTCATTGTGCGTATCTCCACCGGGCTTCGGAACTAAAACAAAGAAGGGACAAAGCAAACAACAGTGCTAACAGTTGTGTTTTAACTAGCCTCTAGCATGCTAACATTAAAGAGCACCAGCTAGCTGTGGCTAACGACCTCACGAGCAGTTGGACCAAACCACAGCAGCTGAGCTTTAATTATGTGTATTTTAACTCACATTGGGAACTTTGACAACACTGCTAACGTCTTATAACGCCCGTGCTAACTTGTGATTGAGTTTTTGAGCGTCAAAACGCTAGCAGCAGACATTAGCTTGCTAGCATGACTCAGTGGATTTGTACAAGTAACACTGCTGTGGCCCGATGTTTGTCAGGAAGCAACCGAGGACTGTAGCTTAGATAGAGGATATTGGTTCTTGCTTGACTCAACAGAGAATATAGAAGTAGCTCTTGTAATTTATGTCATAAAACCTGAGGGGGGTGTTAGCCAGGTTGCTCTGTAGTAATGCTAATGAACTGTTGTGGGTCAGGGACTGAAACTGGCTTTTGTTTCTGAGTTAAACGTGCTCGACTCTTGACTCAATCTACAGGTGTTGTGGTGAATAGTGTTCCCATGTCAGGATCTATTCAGTCAGTCCCTGTTTATTCCAGCAACCTTTGGCTGCCTTGTTAATGTTCCCTCACAAGGAGAAACTTACTCTGACGAGGATACACATCTTGGCAGGATACCAGCCCTGACTGCAAGACTCCTGAGGTTGTCTATAAATAGATGTGTTCACAGCCTTACTGTATTGAGGTAACTCGTGAGCGTGTGTGTGCCTTTGAGATCAGTGTCACATTGCGCTCCTGTGACAGTGGAAAGCAGTCATCCACAGGTCCATGTGAGCCTGGAGCTGCATGCAGCACTGCAGTCTGCAGGCTCGCACACGTGAAGCTGCAGATTGCAGTGCTGTTGTATTGACAGTTTTGGGGAGAGGAGGAAGACTCTGATGTGATTCAGTGGAACCTGAACTCGGTGGTGTGAATATTTCCCTTTTTGGTTCCCCCATGATCTGACAAAGGCTATAAACAGCTTCTGCCCCCTTAAGCAATAACCTCACTACTTCCTTTAAAGATGCGAGGCTGATGCAACTTCGTGTTTACATGACTTGCTGTGGCCTGAGTGGAAGGGGCTGTGAGCTGTCATGGAGTAAGCAGTTTTTATATCAGGTTTTGGGAAACTTTTTGTTCTTTTTACGTACATTTTATTCTTTCAGAGGCCTATTTGTGATGATACAGATGGTTTTGTAGTCAAGATTCATACTCATCATGAGTAATACTACCACAGGGATTGTTCTGATACTTTTGCTGATCCAGTAACTAAGTTTTAAAGTAATTTTTTTGTGTTACTTCCTTAAAGTGTTGTTTATTTTAACAAAATCCTCTTGTTAAAGGTCTCAAATATTGCATGTTTTTGAAACACCAGGCTGTTTTTATTTGATGCTAAATACCAGAGTAGGTTGCGACCTCACCTTTGAATTACTATCCTGTGACTGACATGCCACACAGGTCATGTAGTGATACCTGAGCTATCTCAGTTGCTTATGAAAACTGTGAGACGTGACTTTAAAGCTCCAGAAAAGCTTAAAAAACAACAACAACTTTGCCAGACAGTGGGGATTACTAAGTCACATAAAGAATCACGAATGAACTTCCTCGGTAATTCCATATTTACAACAAACATTTGATGCTAAGTTTGTGCTCAGTTGTCAGTAGTTTGTGCTATTAACACATTTCACTTAGTACTAAAACCAAACTGAATAGTTTTAATAGCTTGAATTACTTCAATCTAATTGTTAAGATAGATTGTTGAACTGAAGCCAAAATAGAAGTGGCCATGGCCGGATGGTGACGCTGAAAAAATTCATCAGGGCAAAGTGTTTCATTTTAGTCGATACTGATAGATATTGATAATGACCTGTTTATAAAAAAGACCAGGTGAAAAGATCTACTCTGAGTTTTGCCACCTCACTTTGAATTTAACCGCTTTTCCATTGTTATCAAGATACACGGGTGTGGTTTTAAATTTACATGACAATGAAACCCACTCACATGTATTTACACACAGGGACATAAATAAGGATAAAGGAATGATCTCACCTTGATGCTCATTAAATAAGAAAAGCAAGAGGAACCCTGATGCGCATTGAAGGCAACCAGGGTGAAGCCACCACATCTCGGTGACGTTCAGGTTCCTAGTCAACAGATATCACCTGGCAGGGACCCCACACTGGCCTCTATACGCACCCTGACATCAAACCCGTCATCCCTCAGAACAAGCCGCTGGGAGTGTGTCATTTAGGTGGAGATGCTGGAGGACACGTGGGTGTTTTCAGACTGTAAACCTGTCTTGCAAGGACACCCGCATGCCACAGCTTGCACCGAGGGAGGCCTGTGGGGGCAGATGTGGTGATACAATTAAGATGCCTCCGAGGACCTGCCACAGGGAGAGCGACGGAGGGTGAAGGAGCTTAATTATCAACGAATATGATGAAATGTTTATGAGTCAGGGCGGAAGCATGCTTGACATTTGCTCCTGCAGCTGAGTTTCTGTGGCGGTTTGCATCTAATACAAGTAAAAACTACTGAACCGTGTTCCTATTGTACTGATTAGGAATCTCCCAGCGGTGCACGTTGTTGTCGTTTTATCGCTCAGGCCTAATAGTGACTGATACAGCTTGTTTTTTTTTTCCACCCTTCAGCTACTAAAAAGAATAAGTGAGTGAAGAGAATGGATTTTGTCAGTGGGGATCAGTGATGGCCTGCTGTGCAAATGAGACTATAATGTTGTGTTTATTACAGTCAGTAGCGCAGCAGCTAAACAAGCCAGAGTCAGATGTGAGCATGTGTTAATGGCTGATAGCGATTATGAGCTAACAGTTGCTAGCGTGTGACACAGTGTGGTACGAGTGTGTGAAATTAAACCACAGTTGAGTGTGATTTGGCCAAAAAAAACTCCAGTTCAAGCAAGTGTGTGAGTGTTTTGTTCGAGAAACGACAATTTATTGATTATCACAATGGTTGCCAAATCGGTAGACTGACTGCTCCTGCTCTCGGCCGGGGTTATTGATCATCCTCACGCTGTCTGGATAGTTTCTAAACAAGTGTCTTCCTCACAATTCCCTGCTCAGAGGCGGTGACAGTAAATACTTCCAGAGTTGTATTTCTTCTGTCTCCGGGTCAGTTTGTTTCCCTGTTTGTTGGCTGTGCTAACAGTGTGTGTGTGTGCGTGTCTTTGTTTGCGTCTCCAGGTCAGCTCACCAGGTTGCAGACAAAGCTATGGCCCAGGAGACCAATCAGAGCCCGGTTCCTATGCTCTGTGCCACCGGCTGTGGTTTCTATGGCAACCCTAGGACTAATGGCATGTGCTCTGTGTGCCACAAGGAGCACCTATCGAGACAGAACAATGGAGGAGTGGGCCCTTTGAGTGCTGTGGGTAAGGCCTGCTGTGCCTGTCACAGTTTAGTTTCTCTCTTTGTGTCTTTCCAGCTGCCCAGCCTTTGTCTCCGGCGTCTGACTGGTGACGTGTTGTGAATTTTTTGTTTTTCTTTCACTTCCCCTTCAGGCAGCGGCAGCAGCCCCACAGCTGAGGCTTCTGCCATCCAGAGGTTAGAGGCCACGCTGAATAATGCTGCGGCCGCCGCGGTCGCCGCTGCAGAGGTGGCAGCCGAGGCCGCCGCAGCCTCTGCCGAGGCCGCCGCCGTCACCGAAGCTCTCAGGTGAGCAGGATCCGCCGTTCTGAATTGAACGCACAGTATGTTTGACATTTAGGTTTAAGTCAGGAGTGCTTTGCTGCTTTTCTTTCTGTGACATTTACAAAAAACAAACATTGGCAAACAATCCATCCTCATTTGTGAAGTTGGCACGACAAACAGTTCAGTCATAAGTAGGTCATTTAGGTGGCACCTCCTTATAAACACATCTCTAAACACACAGTTAGAGCTGACATTATACATCCTTTGTGGTGTCTCGTATCTCCGGCAGATAAAGTATGTGATAAAAATGTGATGGCTTTCCTGTTTTTGTCCTTCGCAGTGGAATTTCAACTGCCATATCTGTAACGCAGCAGATGACCGAGATGAGTCTGTCCTCTGAGGAGAAAGAAGCGTCGGGGAGCAAAGTAGAGCTCACAGAGCCAGGTGGGCACCTTATATATCACGGACACTGTTATTTATTGATATACACGGAGCTGCTAGTTTATTAGAATTCAATCCTTTTTCTTTCATTTCACTGTGAGATGAGGAGAGTTTCTACAGAGGTGTGTTTTACTTTAATATCTGCGGTTGTGTTAAATTAAAGTTATATATCAGTGTGCAGAACGGCTTTATGGCACCGTCATTGTGTAGAACGACCTTTTATGTGACAGATATTCAATTCTTGGTCACTTCTATTGTTATTTTAACACCGTGTATCGCTGTTATTTGTAGTTTAAAGGTTAGAAAAATGTGCTGTATTGCAATAAATGTTGATTTTGCATGATAAATATAAACAGAAAGGTTTTGTTTTTTCAACTACTGATGTGCAGTACCTCAGTTCGGTGAGTAAGATGGACGCTTCAGTGAATTAAATGCTCTCTCTCTGTCTCCAGTGGTGACTCAGCCCACTGTCTCAACCCTTCATCCCTCCACTGCTGGCAGTGAAGAGTCCAAAGACCCAGAACCCCCGAAACCCAAGAAGAACCGCTGCTTTATGTGTCGCAAAAAGGTTGGCCTTACAGGTAAGAGACGGCACCAATCGCCCGTCTAACGTCGTGGGAGTAAAGTTTGAGCTTCTGTTTTAGTGAGGAGTTAATTCTCAGGTTTTCAGGCTGGAGTGTTTACTGCGGTTGGACTCCACTCTGGGGTCTAATTGCTCTGAGTAGCAGCTACGTGGAGATTAAATCTGGACAAACTGGAGCAATTTCACAGCAAAGTATATCTCCCATGCCCACAGGAGAGCAGGGAATAAACGTCCTAAGTACTGCGATGGCTGATTTAATGAGAAAAATGGCGGTTATGTCACTACTTGTGCAACAAAGATGAAGTTTAGGGTCAATGTTGGTCTCGATTTCAGATTTCCTGAAAGTTAAGGTTATGCTGGAGCCACAGTAACATTTCTAATCGACGTATTCGTCTGTATTTCTTTATAAAGTAACAGAGAACTGGGGTTTATTTTCTGTCACATCCTGTAAACCAGACAGAACTCGTCCCCGTCGTGTCGGCTGCCTCTGGGGGACGAGCTGTCGTCGCCAACGCTCGCTTCTGATTTGATTTCCTGTCCGCTGCCTTTCAGGTTTCGACTGCCGCTGTGGGAATCTGTTCTGCGGAATCCACCGTTACTCCGACAAGCACAACTGCCCGTACGACTACAAAGCCGAAGCCGCCGCCAAGATTCGCAAAGAGAACCCCGTGGTGGTCGCTGACAAGATCCAGAGAATATGAAGAGAACTCTGGCTTTTGACTTTGAATATCGGGAGGCTTTCAAAAGTGGACTCGAGCCCAACCTTCTCCTTGAAGGACCTGTTTTGTTTAGTTTTTTTTTTCTTCTTTGTTACACATTCAGGACTTTTCCCCCCCACAGTGCATGAAAGTTCACATCTTTTCAGCTTTCATTCTTGTTTGTGTGTGAGTTTAACACTTTTTTGCAGGGTTGTATTGAACAAAGAAATACTGTATGAGAGGATGAAGGTGATGGGAGGTGACCGAGGGAGACAAAACGCCCTCGGAAGAAAAAAAGAGAGAAAAAAAAAAGCTCTAGAATGGCCGCCCGGTCTGTTTTAGTGATCCTCCTGAAATCGCTTGAGCTCTTGTTTGGAGAAGGGCTCGGACACTCGGAGCCCGTTTGAACTGTTCCTGCTGTCGGCTGACGGTGAAATCTCAGCCGTGCTTGCTCTCTGCTGGCTTGAGTAGCAAAATGGATATCTTGCTTTTTTTTGTTTTTTGTCTTTGGCCTCGACGCCCCCCGAGGTCCGAGTCTAACCCTCCTGACTGGTGAGGTTTTATCAATCTGAATGCTTCTCTGTGCCACCGGAGTCACACAGCTCAGACTTGTCGCTAGACTTTAAGGAAAAAGACTTTATCGCGAGCCTTTTTTTCTTTTCTTCTGGTTTTTGCTGGTTTCTATTCCCTCCCTGCTGCCGTGTTCGCAGCGCCAGACACACAGAATAGTGACTCTCTTCTCTGCCGTTGACATTGGACTGATGCTGTGACCGTCTCTGTTCTGGATGGACCGCACGTGGACTCGTTTTTTTTGTTTTTGTGGTCTTTAAAACCGTCCACCGAAGTCACGCGAGGATACGTGTCAGCCGGCTGTTTCTCGGATTCTGTTTGCTTTGTTTTCCAGAAAAGCGGCGCGTATGCTGGTGTGTTGTTGTCGTTGTTGTTGTTGTTGTAGGAAGGGTTTAGCTCCACTAATGTTTTCATCTTTTACTTCACTATTGAATGTTTTCTTCTGTTTTTTAACGTGAGTTGGTGAATTCACGGGAGCGAGTGTTGGTGGGAGTAGAAAGGTGGACGGCCGGTGAGCGGCTGTCGTACGAGGCTAATCGGTTGTGTGCTGCGGTGACTTAGTGAGCTCGTAGGTTATTAATAATTTTCCATTTTTGTTGATTTATTTTGTTTCTTTTATTTTGGTCTGGCTGCTTAATCTGTGTGAGTTTGTGTTGTTTTTTTTTTTACCCTTTAGTTATGCAAGTTTGTACAAACCTCTTTATTTATATACTGCAGTGCGCGTAATCTTCCAATAAAACAGAATCAATTGTACGACGTAAATAAATTATGTTCACAAATATACAATAAGGAGTTCATGGCCCTTCATGGTCTGATGCCAAACTTCCGGTCCGAATCATTTGTGTCTGCATTCAACTATCCTGAGAAACATACAGAACAGACAGCAGACAAGTTGTTGGTGTTTGATGCACATTTTTCTTTAAGTTCAGTCGATTGAAATGCTTCCTGTTGACTTCATTTCCTCGAGTGTTTTCGGTTGCTGACATCTTTCTATTTAAAGCTCCTCTCTGCTCATTGATTCAACTCCTAGAAGCTCCTCTCTGTATCGAAACTGCACAATTAGAGACTTTTTCAATTAAAAAAAAATCCAATTTAAATTGGATTGTTTCCGTATCTTTGTTGCAAATTAATTCCTAGAAATCTGAATCCATGCTTTGGAGACTTGTAGATATGCGTTTTAACCATGATGTTGGCTGCTTGTTAACCTCATGATGTGTCTTCAAGCACATATATATGTACAGTCGTCATCAAATGTATTCATAGCCTCCCATTAAAGAAGGAAAAAGAACAGCTGAAATAAGTTGAAACTGACAAAAGTAATAATAAATAAAAATGTAATGAACGTCATGATGTTGCTTTTGAATTGTGGTTCAACAGAAATATATAAAAAAATCAAGCAAACAAGCATGTTGGGACCCGTAAACTAATATTTAGTTGAACAAACCTTTAATCACTGCAGTCAGGTGTTTTCTGTAACTCTCAGTCAGACTTCTGCACCTGTTGACAGGTATTCTGATTTCACTGCTCATCAACAAAGTGCTCTCATTTGTCTGGGACAGTTGAATTAAAAAAAAAAGGTTCTTTTCAACCACAATTCAAAATCAATGTCTTATTTCACTAAATTATAATTTTGCAAATTTTTATTTATTATTGCTTTTTTCAGTTTCTAGTTATTTGAGTGTCTACTTTTAATTTTGCCTTTTCTTTAATGGAAGGGTGTGAATAAATGTGAGGACGACTGTATGTATACATTTACCAAAAAGCACAATGTGGACATGATGACAAGATTAAACAAAACAACAACAACTTCACTTCACTAGACAGGATCTTGAAATGTTTTGCAGGGTTTTTGTTTAGCAGAGAAGAGAAGCTTTTTATTGATCAAAAAATGGGGAAATTTCCAGTGTTACAGCAGCAAAAATGCAGAGAAACATCAGAACGTAGAAATAAACAGAAAATATATACAGACGTACTGTTATTGTCCAGATTCTGGTAGATTAATCGTAGCAACTGGACTTGCTTGAGTTCCTTGACGATGTTTCATCCAAGAGGCTTCATCAGTTCTGACTGACTAGTTGGGAGTTCCAGATACTTACATCCTTAAGGAGCCATTAACACCTGAGTTTTGGTTTCAATTGGGGGGTTGTTGCTCCTCCCTCTTGTTATGCGAGTCGTTAGTGCTCCCCCTGACACAATGGGGTTCGTTAGGGTCTTTTGTATCTAGGTGTGAAAGTGGTTTCATTTTCAAATGTCTTCAAGGAACTCAAGCAAGTCCAGTTGCTGTGATTAACCCACGAGAATCCCCCTGACCTGGTTGACTGAGAATCAGACTTACTGTACAGATGTTGTCATACGTGGAAATCCAGATATTGCACATATCTATAACTTTATACAGACAGAAAGCGCTACTAGAAAAAACATTTTTCTCATCCAAATAACTGGTCAAAAAAGAAATATCGGTAGAAAGATGCTAATTAAAGATTTACTTAGTGGGGCGCCGCTATAGCTCACCTGGTGGAGCTGGTGTCCCATGTACAGGGCTACAGTCCCAATGTGGAGGTCATGGGTTTGAATCCCGCTCATGGCTCTTTCCCACACGTCCTCCCCCATCTTCTGCCCCACTTTCCTGTCTCTCTCTCACTGCTCTATCAAATAAAGGCACAAAGGCCAAAAAATAAAAAGATTTACTTCGAGTAGTGGCTACAGATGTGTCGTTAAGTCGGACAGATTTGCTCTGAACTTTGGGTCAATTAAGACTTTTCGTACCAAAAAATGACAAACCAGTTATCACATAAGTTAGTTTAAGAATGGAGTGGCCAAGTTTTTCAGTTTGTTTTTTTTAAATTAGGGATGACATTAAGACACTGAGCTCAATGTTTGTGAAACTGGTCTCAGAACTCTAACTGAGCCACACATGCAGCTCCACAGAGCATCGGTCTGTAACTAGATTTATTTAAAAGCTCTCTGCTGAACGTTTAACCGACACACAGAGTTTCCTCCAACAGGCTTAAATGTCCTGCTCGGCGTCCGGCTGACATTTAACGGCCGCCGTCGCGTCTCCATGTGACTGGCGTCCCTGCAGGGAAACTGGATCTGCAGCAGCCAGTTCCTCCTCGGCTCACGTTCTGACGCCTGCTGCTGTACGTTTTCATACACAAACACACGTGTGCAGAAAACGCCGGGAACACATGTGTTCCTCAGACCGCCGCCTCCACCCTCCACCCCCTCCTCCTCCAGGATTAGTGGAAATAGTCTGCAGTCAGAAGTAAACACCGACCACCAGCAGGTTTTATCTGGTCAGTGGGTACACACAGGGCTATTTCTGGATCCTCACTATTTCCTACGGCAGCAGTTTGGATGCTAATGTTCCTGCGTTAGCCACAATCAAATAATAAACAACCAGTAAAAAAAAGTAAAAAAAAAAAAAAAGTTATTCAAAATAACTAAACTGCAAGAAATCATTGATCTGTGTCACATTAACCCTCCTGTTATCTTTGGGGTCAATTTGACCCGATTCAGTGTTTAACATCTGTAAAGAAGTCAATGACATCATTTATTTCAGTTTTATTTAAAGGGCTATTTACACATAAACTTGGGGAACAATTCTAATTATGATATTTTCTGGAGGTTTAAATTGTTGAGGTCAAGTTGAACCCAAGGATAAAAGATGTCAGTCAATTTGAAGGTAATGGGAGGGTTGGAAAAAACAACAAAAAAAACCAAAACTCATTTATGGGGGGAAAAAAAGCCACAAAAATGTAATATAAAAATAATTGAGTTATATTTTCTACCAACATCAGTCCCAATCAGAACTACTAAATATTCAGGAATTTTCTGGATTTTTGGATTTTTATTTCTATCTGGTTCACATGATTCCACTCTTCTTCTTTTATATTATTTTAAACAAAACTCCACAAAAAATAACATATTTTCCATACAATCAGTGGAAATTTTTTTTTTTTTTTATCACCAATGAATGGTGACACATTGTTTTTTCAGTATCAGATTTAATATAAATAGAACTTAAGAATTTAAACTAATAATATTATTTTCCACTTCCACTAAGTTATTTTAACCACCATCTGTCCTGATCATGCCTACAAAATATTAGTTTTCAAGATTTTTCTCCTTTAAATGCCAGTTTGTTTACGTCATGTTTTGTTGTTTATTTTATTATTTTATTTTTTATTTTTGTAAAAAAACAACTAAATATATGTATTTTCCACATAATCAGCGATAAACATTTTACCAGATTATCAATCACAGCATTGATTTGGATGCAGTCTCATTCGTGGAAAAAAAAGAGCCACACCGAAGACCTTCAGGACAAAAATGCCATCAAATATTAATTTTGATTTTAATTTTAGACTTTCTCCCATGTAGGTGTTTTACCCAACATCAGTCATGATCATTATTACAAAGTAGTTAGGGAGTTTTTTTTCAGGATTTTAACCCTTTAAACACCAGTTTGTTGTCACTTTTATTTATTTGTTTATTTTATTAAAGTCCAGGATATGTCAGTGATCAGCAACAACACTGATCCTGATGCATTATTAATATTTGTACAGTGTCAAGTAAAAAAAAAAAAAAAATACTACTTTAAAGAGAAAAATGCAATAAAATAATGCAACAAATAACGTTATAATATATAACAATTATTATTATTATTTTCCATATAGTTAGTGATAAAGGGAGCATTCTTTTTTGGATTATCATAGACCGGGATGTGTCCATAATAAGCAACAGCATGGATTCAGATGCATTAATATTATTTTTGTGCAGTGTCACATTAAAAAACAACAACAACAAAAAACACATTAAGGACAAAAATGCCATCAAAAGAACATTAAACGTCGTGTAATAATATTATTTTCCACCTTCACTAAGTTACAAGTGACCACATTTCCTCTCATTTTCAGGATTTTGCTCTTTAATAATGTATTTTATTAACTTTTTCACATTTGCTACCAAAGCAGGTGGAAGCTTCTGCCGTCAGATGAATTTCAAAGTGCAGCGAAAACTGTAACGTCGGACCAATTTCCCATAAGTGCTGCATTACACAGAAATAAATCTCTCGACTGAACCACCTCTGTGCATAACAGCGCTGACTGCACTCAGACGGAGTGAACGCTGAGCCTCTCCAGTTTACATAATGCTCACTGCAGGTCTGTGTCAGCCTCACTTCTGCAGAGACTTCCACAGTTCAGCGCAGGAAAAAGCATCCAAAACCAGACTGCTGAGGGTTTTTTTTTCTTTTTAATTCGCGGCTCCACTCCAACAGTCATGCATCATAATGAGTGTTGAGTAATGTGCAGAGAAATGAGGACAGAAGGTGTCAAAGCTTTCAGCACTGAGTAATCTGCAAAAGAAATATGGAGGCAAGTAAAGGTCAAGATCTGTCAGCTTGTCAGAGGATGTTCAGGAAACACTGAAAGTCTTGTGGTTTGGAATCACATTTACTTGTAATGTGTGTTTGCAGATGCGATGAAAAGATGTTTATTTAATAAGACTTGCATTAGACACAGAAGCACCAGAAATATAAACCTACCAAACAAAACGGACAAATTCTAGCAGCCAGAATGACTAAAGTGAGAACGTCTGCATCGAATTTAGACAAATATTCAGCAATGTGGAAACAGGACGACAGAAAAAATGAGTTTTTGTGCGCAAATTGTATGTAAAAGTGCCCACACTGTACGAGACTTTACATAAGTACAATTTTAGATCCTGGTTTTACAGATAAATGCAGTTTTTTAC